CGTGTAAACATCTGGGTTTGAAGCTATACAAAAGTAGAAAATCTACATGGCTAAGAGAGACTCTTCTCCAAAAACAAGGTGAAGCAGGACATGGTGGCATATTCCTTTACTCAGGAGGCAGAAGCAGGCACATCTCTCTCTTGAGTCCCTGTCTGAAACAAACAACAAAAGGACCAAGGTACACAGCTCCTGAGAAATACTCAAGGTTAACCTCTGGCTTCCACATACACACCTGCACTGCACACAGTACAACCACACTCACAAAACCAAACAAATCGGGTATGAACCAAGAAATTCACAAAGTTCCCACAGAGACAAATGTAAGAGCATCCAGGTGTGTGTGTGTGTGGGGGGGGAGGGTAGTAACATTTCATATAGCAACCACTGAAATTCCAGACTAGGAAATTCTGTTCACAGGACAACACAACCCATTCCTTTAAAAAAAAAAAAAAAAAAAACAAAAGAAAAAGGCAAGAAATGAAAAGGAGGAGAAGGAAAAGAAGAAGAAGAAGGTGAATTTACAGCTAAAATAACACTTAACAGAGATATCTAGCCTGAGGAGATTGCTCAGTGGATAAAAGTACTTGTTGTCCAAGCAAGAGGACCTAAATTGGGCTGGAGAGATGGCTCAGAGGTTAAGAACACTGACTGTTCTTCCAGAGGACCTGAGTTCAATTACCAGCAACCACATGGTGGCTTACAACCACCTGTAATAAGATCTGGTACCCTCTTCTGGCCTGCAGGCATACATGGAGACAGAATGTTGTATACATAATAAATAAAATCTAAAAAAAAAAAAAAAGGACCTAAATTCAAGCACCCATCACTAATGTGATGCGAGAATAATTCCAGCACTAAGGGAGCATAGACAAGAGTACCACTAGAACTTGCTGGCTAACAGAAACTCTCTCAAGATAAGGCAGAGTGATAAAGTAGGGCCTACAATGTCTTCTCTGATCGTGGTAGACACATATGCAAGTGCACATACATTACACACCATTATACACTGTATACTTCCAACATTGGCACATGAAAGATTTTCCAGGACCACTGAAAAGAGCTGGGGCTGTAGCTCAGTTAATAGAGCACTTGGCAGCCCTGTGTGTGGTGGTGCAGAAGGATCAGAACAGGGTTATTCTTAACCACCCTGGACTACATGAGATTCTGTCTCCAAAAAAGAGAGCCATTAAGTAGTGGGATACAGGGTCTTGACTAAAACAAATAAACTGAAATTAGACACGCAATATATTAGAATGTTAGTTACTAAAACATCACAGATGAAGCCTAATCCTAGCACTCAGGAGACAGAGGCAGGTGGATTTCTGAGTTTGAGGCCAAAGGTCTATATAATGAGTTCCAGGACAGCCAGGGATACACAGAGAAACCAAAATCAAAGCCAGGCAGTGGTGGCAGACTCCTTTAATCCCAGCACTTGGAGGGCAAAGTCAGGTGGATCTCTGTGAGTTCAAGGCCAGCCTGGTCTACAAGAGCTAGTTCCAGCACAGGCTCCAAAGCTACATTGAAACCCTGTCTTGAAAAAAAAAAAAAAAAAAAAACAGAAAATAAAAAAAGAAAACCAAAACAATCAAAAAAGGATATGTTGATTTGTACTCCCACAAACATTGCAATAGTTTCTATCATTTAAAATTCTTTTTTTCTTTTAGGGTTTTATTTTTACTGGGTGTGTGAGATGCACAAGCTTCGGCTGTAGATACACAGAACACACAGAGGACAGTCTTGAGTGCTGTTCTTCAGGAACACTGATCACCTCAGCTATTTTTTGAGGAAGAGTCTTACACTGGCCTGAAGCTCACCCTAGGCTTGGCTGGCTGGCCAGTGAGTCTCAGGGAGCCTGCTTGCCTGTTTTGACAACTAAATTCAGGTCCTTATGCTTTTTATTCCAGGCTTTTGGTTTTAAACTTAGAAAAGTCTTCTCTGTGCCAAGATGGCAGGCACTGCAGTGTTGGCAAGAAGAGCAACCTTCACCTTTTGTATATATTTTTTCAAAACAATACAAATGTTTTATTTAATAGTTGCAGGTCATCATGGGCCAAGTGGTGGACACTCAGGACCCAGCAGGAAGGTCAACACAACCTCCGAGCCTCCTTTTCTGACTCCATTAGGGAGAGTAAGTGCATCTCCCTCTTGAACGGGACCTTTGACATTTAGGTGTCATCCATAAATTCCACATGTACCTGCATGCACTGTCCCTGTGAACTGGTCCTGCCCAGCATTTTGGTTACTCTAGCAAGCTTGAAGGGCTGTACGTGACTTGTGTCCATGTTAACGGCAATCAGGCAGAGAGAGTCCTTTGTATATTTTTATGTGATGCTTTTGTAATTTTTAAATTATCTTTAAAATTTCTGTAAACGATATATTCCAGTCATTTCTCGATGTAAGATGCAGACCCAATAATTCATTCTGTTAATTTTAATAGGTATACTTAAAAATTTAATCCACGGAGTTAATTTTGGTACATAATCTGATATAGTGGTCTAACTTACATAACAAACAGCCACTCATCTAAACAAAGTATCCCAAAAATCTTTTCCCATGATCTGAAATACAGTACTCTCTTAACGTCATTATGTAATGAAACTTCAAATTGTTTTAGTTTCTTTCTGGGCTTCTATTATACTCAATAACCAATCTCTCACTCTACTGTCATTGTGCCAATGTCATGGTATATTAAAATATGTAGCGTTTTAATATACCCAGCTATCTTAAAATGCACCTCTCCCAATCACAGAGAGAGAGAGAGAAAGAGAGAGAGAGAGACAGAGACAGAGAGACAGAGAGGGGGGGGCAATTTGAGCTGGGCAGTGGTGACACACACCTATAATCCCATTACTCAGGAGGCAGATGCAGGTAGACCTGGTCTACAAAGTGAGTTCCAGGACCGCCTGGGTTTTTACAGAGAAACCCTATCTCAAAAAAACAAAAATGAAAGAAAGGCAATTTTACTGAAAAGAAAAGCAACAGAGCCCAGGCGGTGGTTGCACGTGCCTTTAATCTCAGCACTGGAAGGCAGAAACAGGCAGATCTCTGTGAGTTCAAGGCCAGCCTGGTCAAAAAACCAAACAAACAAAAGGGAAGTGGGACTAGGCACAAGGTTAGTCCGGCAGGGCATTCAGTATCTTGATGATCTTGTCATTTTCAATGAGCACAATGATACCCATGCTTGATGTGGCATCCTGGGGGTCCACGGCATTCAGTATGGCTTAGGAAATGGTTTCAAACAGATGTACTAGATCCATGTTGGGTTCCTAGAGAGAATCAAACATCCTATACATTTGTTCAGAACAGGTACCACTGCTCCCAGCTCAGCACCAGGGTTCACATCAAGTATCTAACCATAAAATAGTACAGTGTACCCAAAAGAAGAAAACTGAACCCCATGAAGACCAGACACATGCCAAGAACACTAACTACTCACACTAATAATTTTCAAAGGAAAAGCTTTCCTTTTAGCGAAAACAAGAGACTAAAGTATTTCGACAGAATTCAAGTAGTAAAAGTATTCTTTCCTGGTTAGATTCCCAGTGATTGGCTCCAAAAGGTGTACACGTCTGCATACGATTTAATAAAACTGACAGAAACAGCACACACTGCAGCAGTTTTCCAGGTTTGAGAATAGCAGACTAATTTGTCCTTGGGATAAATGTAGCTTAAATGCATAAAATTAACATTAGTTACACACGAAAGTAAATCAGTGTATCAAAACCATTTGGAATGGAGGGAGGTTTTCTTCTAAATCCAAAAATTATACTACACGTTGTCAAAATGAATCTTCTCCAAATACTTAGGAGGGAAATGATTTTAAATGTTAGGAGCTGGTGCAAAGCAGCAGGATTTTATAGACTGCAGTATGTCAGTTGCTAATTCTGAAAAATATGTTCTCAAGCTGGAAAAAGCAGACAATCTCTCTAATAAAGCAAACGCCCTAAAACACTACACATACATAAACGCACGTACACATCTGCTAAATATCAAATTACACCACTGGAGACAACTTACTAATCAAGTAGTATTTAAAAATCTAAAAATAAAAATAAAATCTCTGCCGGTCATATTTGCAAAGGTGGCTACTGCAAACTGGAGTTCTCGCTGACTCAAAGCAGGAGTCAGTGAATGAATCCAGTGTTCACACTCAAATGTGGGGAGAGGAAAAGGGAGGCTCCGAGTTCCCAAAGTTCTCCTCCCTCTCAGAACACTGCAAAAATTGTCCACGTCTAAGGACACCTACCCTTGAAACTCCTTGAAGAGCAACTTGGAAGACTTTCAGTTCAGATTTTTGAGGGGGAGCGATTTAGAAACGCTGCAGAATTGCAATTTTCATATACGTGGGCATAATTTCTACTTCTTTCCTTCGGTGATTTTCACTGCGTCCTTTCTAAAGAGCCGGTCTACACTCCCCTATTAGTAAAATCCCTAACTCAACACCGAGTCTAAGCCGAAAAATCAAAACAAAACCTGAAACCACACAAAAAGCTTTCAAGAACATGCAAATGAAGCCCACAGACCGTTTCCAGTAATCCCTAAGTAAATCACTTCGTTTTGAGGGAAGAAAGGAAAAAATGGACAGAACTCCGACCAGCGGAGGAAAAAAATGAAAAGCAGTACGGGGGGGGGGGGACGAGTGCCGGGGAGAACTGGGGGAGGATCACAGCAAAAAAAAAAAAAAGTCCAGGCTGACACTAAAGAGGACAGGGCGGAGGATACCCCAGCGACAGGAGGACCGAGTGGGACCGGGCTGAGCCGAGCATTTTCCGTGGGCCTAACCAGGGCCTCTGAGAGGATGGCGGGCAGCACTCGCACAAGAACCCCCCGGATCGCACAGCTCGGGGGGCAGACGCGGGGACGGCGGGGTATCGGAAAGCCGCCACCGCAGTCGGTCTCCGAGGGGACCCTGCCTCGAGGGCTGTGGGCCCGGCCGCGGACGTGGAAGGGGGTGCGGCCCGGAGGCGGCGGCGGGGTCCGAGCGAGCAGGTCGGTCGTACCTTGTAGTAAACGTCGAACTGGATATTCTCCGGCAAGGAGCGGATGTCGCGACGCGAGCGGATGTAGTTGTCCACTACAGCGGAGATGGCGGTGTTGTAGAGCGTCTCGGGGATCCACTCGAGCTCCACGGCCGCCATCTTCCCTCGCTCCTCCTCCGCCTCCTCCCGCAGGCCCCCGCCTCCCTCCGTAGCGAACCCGTGTGCGGCCCCGGAGGCTTCCGAGGGGCGGCGACCACGCGAGCGCGCGCCTCACGGCCCCGGCCGCCCGGCCTCCGCGTGCGCGCGCGAACCGAGCACCGGCGACGACGGCAGCCGCGGGATACCGGGAAGACCGGGGCGAACGCTGTGCACTGCCGAACCCAGAGCCTCACATTCCGGGAAGGAGAGCAAACCCGGCTCCGTCCCGGCCCCGAGCTCTGCAGGGGCGGGGCTGCGTGTGCGGCGTCATGACGTCAGCGCGCGCCGACGCGCCCGGGAAGGAATGCGGCAGGCGGAAAACTTGGGAGAAAGAGCGGGGACCGCCTGAGGGGTGGCGGGTGCGAGTTCCCGAAGGGCGGATCCCCGGGGTGGCGGGGCCGGAGTTGTGAGTCTTTTCCACGGCGTTCTGTGGCTCTCCAGCACAGCCTTGTCTCACTGAGCTTTAGACGAGAGCCCTCCTGAACTTCTGGGAAAAGTGTAGAATTGATTTTTTTTCTTCACAGAAATGCACAGTTGGGCCAGGCGTGGTGCACGGCTTTTCTCTCAGCACTTGGGGAGGCAGAGGCAGGCGGATCTCCGAGTACGAGGCCAGCCTCCTCTAAAAAGCGATTTTTCAGGACTGCCAGAACTGGTACACAGAGAGACCCTGTATCAAAAAATCAAAAGAAAAAAGAAAATGACATATTCAAGGAAGTCACTTCACTCTAGCAATCCTTCATTAGATTCCGGCTTTAAATTTTGTTAAACATCCTCTCTCCAGTGACTAGGAGTCACAAAGAAAGCTCGTATTTCATGGTAAAACTGTTTATTTTGTAACTTTTTAGTATGTTTATCCATTTTTTTTAAGAAGTAATTCTTTTACAGTAAATCAACATTTGTCTGACATACATTCTCAGACTACTGGAAGAATTTGGTAAAAAAGTGAACCTAACAGTAAGCTAAAACCTACAATGAGTGGATTTGTTTTTTAATGCTAAGCAGAGCTGGAGAGCGCTCACTGGGTAAGAGTGCTTGCAGCTCACGAAGTGGACCCTGCTTAGTTCCCTCCTCCCACACCACAGGCTCCAATTCTAGGGGACTTGATGCCCTTTTTGGGTTTCTTCAGGTACCTGCTCCCACGTGGTGCACATACTATAAGCTCAGGCACACTGTGCTGGTGGGATTTTTGTTCTTGTATTGTCAACATAAGCTATGGCCTTCTGGAGAGGAGGGACCACAACAGAGAAAATGCCTCCGTCGGATTGGTAGGCAGGCAAGTCTGGGATCTTGATTAATAATTGGTGTGTGAGGACCCAGTGCATCCTGGCCGTGCCGTTCTCAGCAGATCCTGGAGATATAAGAAAGAAGGCTGAGCAAGCCAAGGGTCCCCAGCAATCAGCAACACTTCTCTATTGCCTCCAGTTCAGTTCCAGCCTCCAAGTTCCTACCTTGAGTTCTGCCCTGACTTCCTGTCCTGATGGCTATAGTTGCAAGCGAAATAACAACTTTATTTCCTCCCCAAGTTGTTTTTGGTCATGGTGTTTTTATCACAACAATAGGAAGCAGCCTAGTACACATAAGTACACATAAAATCTTTTTCAAGCTAAATAGGTGGTGGCTGTGATAGGACTCAACAGAAACGGAAATTAAGTCAAAGAGATGTTAGTAAATAATTCAGCGCTCTCTCTCTCTCTCTCTCTCTCTTTCTCGGTTTTTCAAGACAGGGTTTCTCTTTGTATCTTTGGCTGTCCTGGAGCTCGCTTTATAGGCCAGGCTGGCCTCGAACTCACAGAGATTCTTCTACCTCTGCCTCCCAAGTGCTGGGATTAAAGGTGTGCACCACCATCCCCTGCCTTTTTTTGTTTGTTTGTTTGTTTGTTTTTGAGACAGGGTTTCTCTGTGTTACAGCCCTAGCTGTCCAGGAACTAGCTCCATAGACCAGGCTGGCCTCGAACTCACAGAGATCTGCCTACCTCTGCCAAGTACTGGGATTAAAGGCGTATGCCACCACAGTCCCGCTCTTTTTTTTTTATTCTTATAAACGCCTGCTATGTATGTAATTTAATTTTCTCAGTGTGCTTTCAAGAATTCAATGTAGCATCTTTCTGATCTAGCAATTTAACAAGGATGTTACCTCTATAATTCTTGATGACAGTCTCAGTTCTTTGTGTTTTTGACACAAGGTCTTACTATTTATATTTATTTATTTATTATGTATAAGGTCTTACTATTTAAACAAGGCTGGCCTCAAACTCAAAGAGATCTGCCTGCCTCAACCTTTGCCTCTGCCTTCTGAGTGCTGGGATTAAAGTCATGCATCACTAGGCCAGTTTCTTCTCAATGTCTTAGTCATTCTGTAGCAGCATAAATCACGGAGGCAACAATGATGTCCACTCCTGATACTCGGCACTACAGGAATTGAAATGAGCTCTTTCAATGTATGTTTCACTCTGTTTTTTTTTTTTTTTTTTTTTTTTTTTTT